TTTTTAGTTCTCGGCGGACACAACATCTTTGTTGGTATGTGGTGCTGAGGATCGAACCCGGGCCGCACGCATGCCAGGCGAGCGCGCTACCGCTGAGCCACATCTCCAGCCCCAAAAAAAGTCTTTTTATATTTGCCCTGGACATCCCCAACTTGAGCCATGGACTTAATTTGATGTTTATAATGAATTTCTTTTGTGTGCTTTTAGAAACTCCAATAGCAAAAATGATAGAAGAAACCGGAAGTTTAAGGAAGCTGAGCGGCTCTTCAGTAAATCCTCAGTTACGTCGGCAGCTGTAAGTGGTAGTGGTGGTGGCTTGGAGGGCGGTGTGTGTTTTCTATGGTATGTAGTTAAGGAAGGTGAGTTTTCTCTTTCCCTTCCTCTCTATATGGAAATGCTCTCCTGAGGTCTGTGGTCACTTTTCTAGTAACTGGTGGCTTTTCTTTTAGGCAGTAAGTGCATTGGCAGGAGTTCAGGACCAGCTCATTGAAAAGAGTAAGTTTATGTTTTCACTTTCCTTGTCAGTTTATTTTTAAGCTGCCACAATCCCTAAATTTAACTTGTATCCACTGTGTATCTGCATCACTTAATGCTCTGCCTTTTCTATCTAGAAGTTGGGAAGCCTTTTGGGCATCTTTWATCATGCCTTTCTTTGGAGGAAGAAACTATGCCCTTCTTGCCTCTTCTGTCACATGAAGATTGGCTTTATTGCTCAGAGACACAAAGCTATGTCTTTGCTCCTGATAAGTCTTTTAAATTCTTAGAGATTTTAAAAAAATTGATTTTATATATATTTTTTAATATTTATTTTTTAGTTGTAGTTGGACACAATACCTTTATCTTACTTATTTATTTTTATGTGGTGCTGAGAAATGAACCCAGGGCCTTGCACGTGCTAGGCAAGCACTCTACCGCTGAGCTACAACCCCAGCCAAGGAATTTTATTTTAATTAAAAAAACTTTTATGGAAAGTTGCAAACATATAATGAAATCTTAGAACTCAATAATTTTAAATAAATTCTAAGTAGTACCTATGTTCTTAAATATAAAATGGGGAATATGTACCATTTATTTTATTTAAAAATTCCACTATTTTCTGTATGTAAGCCAGATGGTCTAATTTTGTTCTAATTTCTAGTGATGAGAGATAGATCTGTACATTTTACTTGCTGAATCAGGCTCTCTGTAGCTGAATTGGGTATCCTCTCTGTGCATGGGATCACTTTGAAATATAACCTGTTTTTTGTATTGCACCTGTGTACTTCTTTCAGATGATATATCTTGTTGTAGGATCTAGTTCTCTAGTTTTCCTTGGGGCAGTGTTTTGTGGAAAAGGAATTTTGGTATTTGGGAATTATAACTACTCAGTGACTTCAGTTTCTCTTGTCTTATCTCATACACCTTTCCTGAACTTTAATCCTGCCTTTTCTTTAGACATTTCCATTTGGATATTTAAACTCAAACATTTCATCTAAAACAGAACTGTTCTGTTTTCTTCTATTGTCTGCCTAATTTTTTTGTTATGATACTACTGTTCTCCCTCATTCAGAACTCTTTTACTCCTTTCTGCCATCCTTATCAATTGTACCAAGTCTTTTTGATTTTTCCTTTRCTATGACTCTCAGCTGAGTCTTATTATTTAATTTTTTCAATTAATACCAACCTCTCAAGTGTAGAGGAACTTTGTCGAGTACCAAGACTAGTTAAAGAATATGCTGGACCTCTCTTCTGAGTTGAGATGGAGTGATGTTGGACTTCTCAGTTTTCACAGGAGCCTGTAATTCTTCCCCTGCTTATGTGATAATTCAGTATGTGGCTCTGTACTTATTTTAGGATATCTATGCCCAGGCCCTTCTCAGGAAAAGACTCTTAAATTAAGTCACTCCTTTCAGAAACTTGACTGAAACAAAAACTTACGTATGAAAGATTTTCTAAAGTGTACGCAGGCCATTCATTCCCCTAAAATCTTTGTTCTGGATGGAGCCACCTGCCTGGGTTGCATCATAACTGCTTTTCTTTGTTTTTTCCCAAAAAGTTATTTTTTGCAAAATTATATACTTTGGTCCCTTAAAATGTCATTGTGTTGTTACAAGGACATTCCAGATGTTGTTTATTATCAAAACTGACTCCTGTAGGAATAGTTCTCCCTGGCCGGGCACAGTGGTGCACACTTGTAATCCCAACAGCTTGGGAGGCTGAGGCAGGAGAATTGCAAATTCAAAGCCATCCTCAGCAACTCAGCGAGATCCTGTCTCTAAATAAAATATAAAAAAAGGGCTGGGGATGTGATTCCCTGGGTTCAATCCCTGGTACTAAAAAAAAAAAAAAAAAAGGAATAGTTTTCCCTAAATACTTGTTTTTTCTTTTTTAACTGAAAAATCTCTTTTATTTTAATTTTTGTGGTGCTAGGATTGAACCCAGGGCTTGATATGTGCTAGGCAAGCACTCTGCCAGTGAACCACATCCTCAGCCCTTTAAATCTTGTTTGATTGTTTCCATTTGTGTGGTCACTAAAATTCATAAAGCCACATTTGTGGTCTACCCCCTAGCCCAAGCAAGCAAGTAGGAATTTGTAACATGCATTTTGGGAATGAATCTCAGTGCTGTATCCAGCTTACTTTCCTCTTCTATTTATCATTGCTTTACTTATTCATTTATTCTTATTTTATATTTATTCTGTTGGATAGCATTATATGATTCTTAGTAAGCTGCCTTGAGTTCCTTTTGGAGGAAGGCAGGTATACTGAAGTAAATGAATAATGGAGTTCATTAATTCAAATGGTCAGAGCCCTTTTACATAACCCTCTTTATCCCCATATTGGGGATTGAACCCAGGGGTGCAAACTGAGCAATATCCCTAGCCCTTTCTATGTTTTTTATTTTTGAGAGAAGGTCTTTCCAAGTTGTCCAGGCTGGTGTCAAGCTTCTTATCCTCCTCCCTCAGCCTCCCAACTAGGTGTGAGCCACTGCTCCTGGCCCTTTATTTTTATTCTATGGCATTTTATTTCACCATTTTCACCATTACCACTTCCCACTGCTAGTTTTTAAATTTTTATTTTTATCTAGATTTTCTGCAGTTAACTACTGTGTGTTTAAATGTAAATTTCTTATTTATCTGGATGGGTTTCTTTTATTTTTTTAATTGGTCCATAGTAATTACACATTTATTGGGCACATTTCATAATATGTGTGATATTTCATTATGTTTACAATGGGTAACAATCAAACTTGAGTAATTAGCATATCCATCACCTTAAGCAATATCAAAATCCTTTTTTTCTGGCTATTTTGAATAATACATTGTATAGTACATTAATATGAATACCTAATATTATTAGTGAACCATAGTTGCTCTACTGTGCAGGAAAATATGAGAACTTATTCCTACTGTCCGTAGCTTTGTACATGTTGTCCAGCCTCTCCTCAGCCCCRCTCCCCACCCTATTCTGGTAACCAACTTTCTGTTTTCCAGTTCTATGAGATCAACTTTTGTGATACCCAAATGAATGAGGTCATGCCTGATTTGATTTTCCTCTGTGCCTGGCTTATTTCACTTAGTATAACATCCTCTAGGCTCATCTATGTTGCCACAAATTACAAAATTTCATTCTTTTTAATGGCTAATAGTATTTCATTAGACTTCTTGAAACAGTGGTTTGGTATTTTTTATCATTTCTTGAAAATTTCATCTGTTACTTCTTCAGAGATTGTATTTGCCCCAAGCCTTCTTTACTTTCCTCCTGATACCTGATTAAATGTATTTAAACCTTCTCATTTTAGCCTTTATTTATTATTTTTTTACTATCTCTTCTTTCATTTTTGCCTCTGCTCTCTCATGAGTGCTTCTTTCCCTGACYTATCTACCAGTTCACTAGTTCCCTTTAACTGTTTGATCTGTTGTTAAACCTTCCCTTGATTTTAAGTCCTTTGTTTTTGCAATTTTAATTTCCATAAGTTCTACTTATTTAAAAAAAAAACATATTTAACTTTTTCATACCTTTCTCTACAGCTATTTTATTTTTGGTGCTAGGGATTGAACCCAGTGCATGTAAGGCAAGCATTCTACCAACTAAGCTGTATCTCCAACTCTTTCTACAGTTATTTTTAAACTTGTCTTTACTCTGTGAAAATTGTCAGAATCACAGTGGAGTCACTTGTATCAAGCCCTGTCAACAACAGAAAAATAAAGCCAAGAGGTTATGAACGAGGGGATCTCATGTACATATGTTTGAAAACAAAAACTATCACAAAAGACTTCGAGAACCACAACCTTGCAGGATGGCCACCACAACCTTACACAGAAAATACTTCTGCAAGGACATCTGTCCAGGAACTATCTGTCCAACCTTAGACTGAAGCCACCCTTGCTATTGATCCTTGTATCCAAGAATAGTTGATCCAGAACCCTCCTCATTTTGCCTTTAAAATYTCCCCCTTGCCATATCCTCTTTCCGGTCAACCTAGGCATTAAATTTAATTAATTAATTAATTAATTTTGACAGTTCTAGGAATTAAACTCAGGTCCTCAAGCATGCTGGGCCAGCACATAACCACTGAGCTGCATTTCTAGCTCTTTCTAGATCTCTTTGAGTATACTCATATGACACATCCATGTCATACATCTTCCCATTGCAGGTTCTTTTGTCCTGAATAAATTTATTAATCTTTGGAGAATCTTTTTCTGTTTGTTATTTAGGATGACAACCTCTTTAAGTATATTAAGCATTGTCACTTTGTATTCTTTTAATTTAAATCTCTGAAGTCTTTATGAATCTGTTTGTATCTGGGCCTAGTGGTGTACACCTATAATCCTAGCCATTTGGAAGGTTTAGGATTCAGAGATTGAGGCCAGTCTGGGCAATTTAGCAAAACTCCTCCAAAAAAACAGGAGCTTCTTTCTGATATCTGTTGTTTCTGTTGGTTATTGTTTGTGAAGTCTACTTTCCTTGTGTACTAGGTAATCTTTGTGTCTGCTCATTTTARTTAAAAATACTGTGTTTTTTGGTATATGTCAGAATCCCATTCCAAGACAGACTTAGTATACTAATATCCATGGATATTCAAGTTCCTTATTTTAAATGATAGGGTATTTATATATAACTTCCACATATCCTTCTGAATGCTTTATTTATTATTTTGTGGTATTGGGAATTGAATCTAGTTCCTTTCTTATATACTTTGTTTTTTTATTTTTATATTTTACAGAACTGGGAATTCAACCCCAGGGGTGTTCTACTGCTGAGCTCTATATCCAGCCCTTTTAATTTTTTTTTAACATTTTTTTTTTTTAATAATAGATGGACACAATACCCGTATGTGGTGCTGAGGTTCGAATCCAGTGCCTCACATGTGCTAGCCAAGCACTCTACCAACTGAACTACAACCCCATCCCTAATTTTTTTWTTTTTTAGACAACGTCTTACTTAGTTGCTGAGGCTGGCCTTAAATTTGTGATCCTCCTGTCTTAGCCTCCTGAATAGCTGGAATATCATATA